ACTGACAGCCCAGCCAGCACCTCCAAGTCTACAGCCACCCAAACCATAGTCAACTCAGTCAGCACCTCCACTAAATGCACCGCGACTACTCAAAGTCTACACACAGGTAAAGTTTTGCCTTTGTCTATAAACCAGTTTGTTGTGCCATGGCATCAGAAAGCAGAGCAATAACTTCTAAATAAATGTGTACTTTAATCATTATTACATGACTCCCTGGAGTACTTGATTTTGACTGGGCGATCAGGACATTCCAGTGGATGTTACTCTCAGATTTGGACTAATAAAGTTCACCCTGCACTACAAATCATCCTGACCAATAGTGAATTTATTTATTCTTTCATTCATTTTCTTTTCAGCTTAGTCCCTTTATTAATCAGGGGTCGCCACAGTGGAATGAACCGCCAACTTATCAAGCTGCAACCCATCACTGGGAAACACCCATACACTCTCGTTCACATACATACACTACGGACAATTTAGCCTACCCAATTCCACTATAGGGCATCTCTTAGGACTTGTGGGGGAAACTGGAGCACCCGGAGAAAACCTACATCAGGGGTCACCAATCTCGTTCCTGCAGGTCCATGCCCTGCAGGGTTTAGCTCCAACATGATCAACACACCTGCCTGGGTGTTTCAAGTATGCCTAGTACACTGAAAAAAATATTCAAAGATGATTCCTTGGATTTACTCTTTTTTTTACGTTAAGTGGTTGTAAACAATTTATTTGTGTTGAATTTAAACAAACAAATTAAGTTGAACATTATTAAACTTAATTTGTTTTGTTTAAATTCAACACAAATAAATTGTTTGCAACAGTTCTGCATGCAACACTTTTTTCAGTGTAGGACCTTGATTAGCTTGTTCAGGTGTATTTGATTAGGGTTGGAGCTATAATCTGCAGGACACCGGCCCTCCAGGAGCAAGTTTGGTGATCCCTGACCTACATGAACACAGAGAGAACATGCAAACTCCGCAGAGGAATGGCAATCCTCTACAATCCACTCAACTTACAACAGGTGGACTGAAGGTGTTAAATATCTCAAAGATGATCAATGTGATCTGAGCTCAGTTTCGGATGTCATGGCAAAGACTGTGAATACTTTTGTATATATGATTGATTGATTGATTGATTTATTGATTTATTTATTAATTAATTAAATTAATTAATTAATTCATTCATTCGTTTATTAATTAATTAATTAATTAATTAATTTATTTATTCATTTATTTATTTATTTATTATTATTTTTATTTATTATTATTGTTATTATTATTATTATTATCATTATTATTACTACTATTATTATTATTATTATTGGCAAAGTTGTAAATATATCAACCAAAGATTTATTGCTGTGAATACATTCAAGATGCACTCCAAGCAGAGCTGCAGAAATCATTTTTGATTTATTTTATATCATTCACTACATTTATGAAGATTTAAGTGTCATGATCTCTTCAGGTTGTTTGAAAATCCTTGATGTTGATCCTGGACAGAAATGTACTAACGCTCAATATGGCAGTGCTGCATGCATTGGTAAGTCTTTGTCTGAAGATTTAAGCAAACATTTCTTTATATATTTGAAAGATCATTTTCATCAGAGGATAACATATTAAGGAAGGGGATTCCAATTTATTAATCCCACAAATAACTTCAGACCAATCAGAAATTTGATGTATGAACTCCTTTCTGTGAGATATATGATTCTTAGGGAGAAAAACTGGAAACACTGGAAAATGCAAGAAGAAAACCTGAATTCTCAGTTTCCATATTGTGATTAACTTGTTCTAGCAACTGGCTCAGCAGCATATTAGCTTGCTCTTCAACACTTCAACATCTCAGCATTGTTTGTGCTAGCAATCTGCAGAGCGTTTGCAGATACACTCATCTATCTAAGCTCCACCTGTGTGTGGATCTGTTGTGGGAGTAGCACCTATGTTATGTTTGCAGCAGCAGTGTTATATTCTCAGAATAAAATAAAATGCATACCTCATATATTTCTGTGTGTTAAAGGGAAAGAAGGAAACAGATACATTCTGCATTTCAACAGTAGTGGATGGACGTGTGTGTCCTGCATTGATGACAATTCAACCACCACCACTAACTATTCAAATACCTGTACAACACCAAATCCAACAACACGGATCCCAACAACCAGTTCAACACAACATCCAAAAACAAACATAACAACGACCAGTTCAACCCCTTATACAACTGCAACTACTAAACCAGTTGTAACTGTCAGTAAACCAGAGATGATGGTAAATCGAACTACTCCTCCAATAAGTCCAGATGGAACCATTGATCCATCAGAAGCATCGTAAGTGTGTGTTTAGTACTGGAAATCAGGTCAAAAGCCCCCTCAGAATACTAACTGATTCAGTTTATTTCACAGAGGTGTCTTGAACAAGCTGGAGTCTCTGCTGGATGACATAAAAAACAGCAATAAAAGCAATGCAGGGATCGTCATGGGGGAAGTTATTGGTGTTATCCAATTACAAGACAAGAACACCAAACGCAAAGACATCGATATATGCTACTCTTCACAACAGAACCTGATGAACGTAAGGCATGAGAAGCATTAAAACATCTCCTTCTGAGGAAGAATTAGGGCTCTATATTGACGGTCCATGCGCAGAGTGCAAAACGCAGGGCGCAAACGCTTTCAGGGCATGTCAGAACACATTTTTGCTAATTTAAGGACGGGAAAATCCGCTTAGCGCCGTGGCGCATGATCTAAAAGGGTTGAGTTAATTTTCTTAATGAGTTATAGGTGTGTTTTGAGAATAAACCAATCAGAGTCTCATCTCCCATTCCCTTTAAGAGCCAGCTGCGTCACGCCAAGAGCACATTTGCTATTTACAGGACGCAAAGTAAGTCTAAGTGGAAAAACTGAGCATTTCACAAGCAAACAGCAAACAGTTTATTAACAGAAAACTGTTCAACAGAGCATCTACTGCGTGAGAATGAGAGATAATGGATCACTTTCGCTCTTGGATAGGGAAACCTTTACGCACAGACAACAATTAGTCTATAAATAAATAATTGCATTTGTTATGCGCAAATATTCATTTCAAAACTATTTCTAAATTCAGTTCTAATTTCCAGCAAACGAATAAGTGAATAATAATAACGAAGTGTGCTCAAAAACCTGAGTTATATCCTAAAACACATGCTGTGCCCCATATTGTCTAAAACCTGACAGGTGGACAAATCTAAGCTTGTTTTTAATAAAACAAATATAAATATGGATATAATAAATAATACTGCTAATAATAATAACATTATACAAAAGCAAATTGTTATGAATGAACTGAAAAAGCCTCCCGAGATGAAGAAGACATAAAAGCAGTGATTTTTCATATTTATGTCGGCTAGAAAATAATATGTTTTGTAATATTTTAATCCTTTATATTTATATCCTATATCTATTCTTATTATATCCTATATATATCCTTAATATTTACATTTTTTCATATATAAAGATATTTGCTTATTGCTCTCTTGTGCGTAAGCGAGGCGCAACTCTGCGCTGGAGTTTAGATCAGGTTTGTTTAGGTCTAATGAAAAATCTATTTTAGTTTCTCAAAATAGCAACGCGCCAGCGGTCCGCCTCAGAACGCCTTCCTTTGTAGACCAGAACGCCTATGGGTGCACAAATGAGCGCTAATGCATTTGTTAATTAAACAGCGTAGCGCAACGCCTCAAAACGACTCTTGCGGCAAGCTGAAACTAGCAAACAAGTATTGCGCCGCGCCTTGCGCCACACTGCGCCGGGTGTATGATAGGGCCCTTAATGTTTACTGATGGCTTTTTACAGGTTGTTGAGACTAACCAGAAGACAGACTTTCCCTGGTCTGTAAAGATTCCCAGTGAAGCCTTTGATAAATCAAGTCTGCAAAACAATGGAAGTGCCTTTGTTGGAGTTCTGCGGTACCCAAACCTGGGGAAAAAGNGTTTGCTTCTGTCTGTGCTGCTGTGTCAAAAACTCTACATTTTGCACAAATGTATATTAATCTATCAGAAATGTTTAAATTTGAATATTCATCACTCCCTGGCTTCTTATTTAGGATGAAACTAAAAATTTCGCTGTTCTAAACAATGAGGTTTATGGAATAACAATGGGAGCCAATATCTCCAACCTAACCAACAATATAGAAATGACCACTAAGCTGAAGACTTCGGTAAGGAAGGCTTTGTGGAAAACTTTGTTTCAGATGCATAACTCCCAATGACATTACTCAAACATTTTTTTGTAGGTCGGTAATGCATCCTGCACATCTTGGGATGGCAATGGTAAATTCATTTGAGGCTCTATGGATCTGTTTACATTAACAAAGCTAGTTCATCTTATTCAGCATCATCTGTGGCTCTCTTTTCTTTGAAGGGAATCTTGAGTGGACAACGTTTGGCTGCGAGACAGAAATGATCGACAGTAGCACCATAAAGTGCTCATGTTCACATCTGACATTCTTTGCAGTGCTGATGGTGAGAATGGTTTACACCTTCATAATCTGTTTCACTTAAAAACCCCATTAAATCAACACATTTAGATAGAAATGTGTTTCTCAATAGCAGGGGTCACCAATCTCGTTCCTGGAGGGCCGGTGTCCCTGCAGGGTTTAGCTCCAACTTGCCACAACACACCTGCCTGGATGTTTCAAGAATATCACATACCTAGTGCTCTTGAATTCCACCCAGCCCTTATTCTTACATCACAGAACACAAACTCTGGGCTGCACACTGCACTGTGGATTGGTTCACTCTAGAACCCATTACTGTTCCAGTCCCTGACTCCACTCCAGAACCTGTTCCTTAGCCTAGAACTTTTTTTCTGAGTCTAGTTCAGTCTGTGATATAAGACCTTGATTAGCTTGTTTAGGTGTGTTTGATTAGGGTTGGAGTTAAAATCTGCAGGACACCGGCCCTCCAGGAACAAGTTTGGTGACCCCTGCTCTAGAAGAAAGAAAGACTTTAGGAACGTGTGTGTCTCTGTATAATGTGGAATGTATATATGTATACTAATGTGATGATTTTGTGGACATTACAGTAAAACTCATCCAGCTGATCTGAGTGTTTTTTCTCTGATTTCTCAGTCGGTGCCAGATGCAAGCGCTGTAGCGCCGTATCTGGATTCACTGACCCTCATCTCTTCTGTTGGCTGTGGGATCTCTGTGTTTTTTCTGGCCATCGCTCTGTTCATGCATTTCTTGCTGCGGTAGAGTTTATTAAAGCACAACATACATATCATGCTGATTTCTACTACAATTCAGGATAAAAACATGGGTTATTTTTCTCTTTCAACAGGAAAGCTAAATCCAATCAGGCCACAAAAATCCTGATCAACATATTAGTGGCCCTTTTTTTCCTGAATGTGTCTTTTCTGTCGAACGAGAGTGTGGCAAACTCAGGAGACAAGAATGCTTGTGTCTTCATAGCTCTGCTGATGCATTACTCCATGCTGACCACATTCACCTGGTTCTTCATTCAAGCTCTTCATATGTACTTATGGCTCATCCGACAGAACGTCACCATCACAAACTACATGAGGAAGATCACCGTGTTGGGCTGGGGTGAGTGATGGAGCAAATCCCTGCTGTAAAACAACAGTTCAAAACCAAAAACCATTGTCAAATTGACCAAAACAAGAAATTATACTGCAGCACTCAGAAAAAGATTCTGTTATGATGCTTTAATACGAAATGTTTTTATGCTTTAATAGAGCTAAAGTCTTGGTTATCTTGGTTCTTTCTTGTCCCTTGTTCTACACCTTATTTGTGCCTCTTGCCACTCCCTCTTTAATAGGTAATGAGGGACAGGCAAGAGGGAGAAACCAATCAGTCACCCCATTTACTCTCTCCTGAAGTAAGCTGATGCTTACAGGACTTAATGTTGCCACTTGAGCGCAGTTGTCCAGGGATAAGAGACTCTCTTTAAGAGAGCTCATCCAACCACATACCTATTGCTCTTGAATCCCACCCAGCCCTCATTCTTACATCACAGAACCCAAACTCTGGGCTGCACACTGCACTGTAGATTGGTTCACTCTAGAACCCATTACTGTTTCAGTCTGTGTCTCCACTTCAGAGCCTGTTCCAGTCCCTGATTCCACTCCAGAACCATTTCCTTAGCCTAGAACTTTTTTCTGAGTCTAGTTCAGTCTGTGACATAATTCCAGAGCCTGTTTTAGTCTAAAACTCAACTACAGGACCTGTTTCTGAGCCCGATCCAGTCGTTGACTTCACCCAGAACCTGTTCCTTAGCCTGGTCTAGTTCGTGACTCCACTCAGAGCCTGTTCCAGTCCCTCACTCTATTTAGAACCTGTTCCTGAACCTGATCCAGTCGTTGACTTCACTCCAGTACCAGTTCCTTAGCCTGGTCTAAACGGTGACTCCACTCAGAGCCTGTTCCAGTCCCTGACTCCATTTAGAACCTGTTCCTAAACCTGATCCAGTCGTTGACTCCACTCCAGAACCAGTTCCTTAGCCTGGTCTAATCCGTGACTCCACTCAGGGCCTGTTTCAGTTCCTGATTCCATCTAAAACCTGTTCCTGAGCCAGATCCAGTCATTGACTCAACTCCAGAATCTGTTTCTTAACCTAGTCTAGTCCGTGACTCCACTCAGAACCTGTCCAAGTCCCTGACTCCATCTAGAACCTGTTCCTGAGGCTGATCCAGTCATTGAATTCACTCCAGAACCTGTTCCTTAGCCTGCTCTAGTCATTGACTCTACGCAAGAACCAGTTGCTTAGCCTGGTCTAATCCGTGACTCTACTCAGAGCCTGTTTCAGTTCCTGATTCCATCTAGAACCTGTTCCTGAGCCAGATCCAGTCATTGACTCAACTCCAGAACCAGTTCCTTAGCCTAGTCTAGTTCGTGACTCCACTCAGAACCTGTCCCAGTCCCTGACTTCAACTAGAACCTGTTCCTGAGCCAGATCCAGTGTTTGACCCAATTCCAAAACCAGTTCCTTAGCCTAGTCTAGTTCGTGACTCCACTCAGAACCTGTCCCAGTCCCTGACTTCAACTAGAACCTGTTCCTGAGCCAGATCCAGTGTTTGACTCCACTCCAGAACCAGTTCCTTAGCCTAGTCTAGTCTGTGACTCCACTCAGAGCCTGTTCCAATTCCTGACTCCATCTAGAACCTGTTCCTGAGCCAGATCCAGTCGTTGACTCCACTCCAGAACCAGTTCCTTAGCCTAGTCTAGTCCGTGACTCCACTCAGAGCCTGTCCTAGTCCCTGACTTCAACTATAATCTGTTCCTGAGCCTGATCCAGTTTTTGACTCCACTCCAAAACCAGTTCTTTAGCCTGGTCTAGTCCATTCCTTCACTTTAGAGCTTGTTCCAGTCCGTGACTCTACTCCAGAACCTGTTCCTTAGCCTGTTCCAATCCATGCCTCCACTTAAGGGCCTGTTCCAGTCCATGACTCCACTCCAGAACCTATTCTTGATCCTCTTCCAGTCCATGACTTTCTTCCAGAGCCTGTTGCATTCATGAACTCCACTCCAGAATCTGTTTTAAAGCCTGCTCTTGTCTGTGACTCCACTCCATAAATTGTTTCATCCTTGACTCTGATCCTAAGTCTGTTCCAGTCTGTGACTTCACTCCAGAGCCTGTTGTTCTTGTTCCTTTTCGTTGCCTGGACTTTCTGTATTTATGTTAAGCATATATTAACTGCATCTGGATCAGTTCCGCTTTCATCTTTACCTTGTCCATCATCAATCTTTACAAAGAGGCCATGTCACCCTGCAGCCCAAGACCGGTTACTCACTGAAGCTAAGCAGGGCTGAGCCTGGTCAGTACCTGGATGGGAGACCACTAGGGAACACTAGGTTGCTGTTGGAAGTGGTGTTAGTGAGGCCAGCAGGGGGCGCTCAACCTGTGGTCTGTGTGAGTCCTAATGCCCCAGTAAAAGTGAAGGGGACACTAAAACTGTCAGTGGGCGCCGTCTTTCAGATGAGACGTTAAACCGAGGTCCTGACTCTCTGTGGTCATTAAAAATCCCATGGCACTTCTCGTGAAAGAGCAGGGGTGTAACCCCGGTGTCCTGGCCAAAGTCCCTCTATCGGCCCTTACGATCATGGCCTCCCAATCATCCCCTTCCACCGAATTGGCTCTATAACTGTCTCTCTACTCCACCAATAGCTGGTGTGTGGTGAGTGCACTGGCGCCGTTGTCCTGTGGCAGCCGTCGCATCATCCAAGTGGATGCTGCACACTGGTGGGGGTGTGAAGAGACCCCCCCTCATGATTGTGAAGCGCTTTGGGTGTATTGCCATACACAATAAATGCGCTATATAAATACACATTACATTACATTTACATTACAATCACTCAACAAAACCAACTTTTTATTACAGTTTCTATACAATTTTCAGTTTTAATTCTGCTAGATATTTAGTACAAGTAAAACTAAAAGGAAAGGAGAGATTCTGGTTTTCATCTTGGTTTCTGTTTTTATAATGGTAGTTTGTGTGTGCCATCAGGTGTTTCGATGCCGATAGTCGTGGCCGTTCTTTCTACAGGAGGATATAAAGCAGTGACCCTGAGCTCAACATCTGGAAAAATTGCACGAATGTAAGTTAAAATTTTACTCTCAAATGCGAACTAATAAAGTTTCTCTATGTCAGTATTGTCCTTTTATATCTGCAGGTGCTGGATTACAGATCTCTTCATTCAGTACATAGTGAACATCGGCTTCTACAGCCTAGTTTTCATCTTCACGACAATCATCTTCATCATCAGCGTCACAAATATATTCCAGTCCAGAGACATAAGAGCGACTGAGGGCAAGAGACTGACGTTCAGAAAGCAGCTGATGATGGTGTTGAGTTTGTTTTTTCTGTTTGGTCTGACGTGGGCTGTTGCCTTCTTCAGTTATGGACCGATGCTCATTCCCTCATATTACATCTTCTCTGTACTCAACTCCTTTCAAGGTGAGAAACTAAATGTGTCAATTGTTCAAGCAAGTTTTTAGCCAATGCAATTAATCAGTGCATGATTGTAATCATTGCATGAACTGTTGAATCTCTCAAGTGTATGCGAAGAAGTAAAATGTCCTGACATATATTTATTTATTTTATTTTTTCAGGGTTTTTCCTCTTCCTGTATTACTATCACATTCACAATGATGTTGCAGGTCATTTTTCTGATGACCCAGGAAGCTCAAGCACCACCTCATCTATTGTCAAAGTCAGCAATGCTGTGGACAATATTTATAATTAATTTTATTAAGACAGAAGGGTTTCTGTGCTTTTTACACTTTGTTGACTCACTGTTTAACTAATTAAGTGGGGAAAACTGTGTGTTCTCATCTACAAATAAAAACAGAAAAGCATAAAGACAACAGCACTTCTAATCAAAGATGAACTCTTTAAAATGACATATAAACATTTTAAAGAGTTCAGATTAGATTCGGTTAGATTCAACTTTTTTGTCATTACACATAGCAAGCACAAGGCAACAAAATGCAGTATGGGTCTGACCAGGAGTGCAATAGCAGCAAGGTATAAGGTATAAGGCAGGATATAGGTATAAGTTAAAAAGTGCACTTATAGAAACATTAAACAATTACATACAGGTTGTTTTAACTAAGAGAGATTTACAATATATACTGCTAGAATATATGTATAGGTTGCTCTTAATAATCAGAAGTGTGCAGATAGATATGAACATAATTACAAATGTATATGTATAGTGGCAGGCCAGGAATGGCTAATCAAAAGGACCTGGGGCCTCATGTACGAAGACTTGCGCGGAAATCTTACTAAAACATTGCGTACGCACAAAGCTGTAAATGTGCGTACGCAGAAAAAATTTCAGATGTATGAAACACTGCGTACGCCGAATCCCACGCATATTCTTTTGTACATCCGAATGAACGTGAAACTGAGCGCAACATGCACGAGCGCAAAACCCCTCCCTGCCTCCTCCCCCGTATGAATATGCTAATGACAAAACCCAACTAAAAAGCAATGGCAAAAGCAAGCAAGAAGAGAAACTTTGAACAGAATGTGAATTGGAGGTGCTGCTTTCGGAGGTAGACCGGAGGAAAGCGGTGTTATTTGCAAGTTTGTTCTCCAGAATTAACAACAAAAGAAAAAAAATAGAGTGGGAGAGTTTAGCTGATGCGGTTAACACAGTTGGGTCTGAACATATTGCACTGAGTGAATTAAAAAAGAAATAGTGTAGTTTATATCTGTAAAATGTTGCAGGACGCTCAACAGTCTCAGTGGCGCTACTCGTAAGACGCTTGTGATCATGATTTGATACGTTCGAGCATGAACTCGACTCGAATCTAGCGTCTGATGAACTCTTTCTTCTTTTTTCCCCCGCTACATATCAGATTTTGCCAACTATTTATCACGAGAAAGACAAGTAGGAATCATCAATAAGTTCATATCAATAAGCATCATATTTTATTTGCACATTTAGTGAATGGAAATGTTTCTGATTCACGCATGCAAATTCATCTTCAGATAGTGTCTTTATAGCAATGTGTGTGCAGTAGATCGCTCAGATTACATTGGGAAAACAGGCGACCGCTGCAAATTGTGCTTTAATGTTTGGCTGGTCAACTGTATGGTATGGAAACCTTATATACCTGCTGAACCCGTCTCATACAGCTGCCATTGCAAGGCTCAGACACTTTGTAGAGAGGATATTAACACAACTGCCTCTAGGAGTCGCCAATGGAAATAAAACAGACACGCACAAAAAATGTGCGTACGCCAGCCAGAAAGCTGCCGTGAAGCTGCGCACATTCCCACGTTCAGTTCATTATTAGTAAATCCAAACGTGAGCGATTCTGAGCGTGAAACCTGGCGTACGCAAAGTTTTTGTGCGTACGCAGCGTTGATACATGAGGCCCCAGGAGAATTTCTGGTGGGCCAATTCGTTTTTTGGCTGCACTCTCAGCAGTCGCACTTTTTTCATTTATTTATGTATTTGACCATAGCCTCACTCTTTTTATTCATTATTTTGCTGCAGCTCCGCTCTTTTTATTTATTTTCTTGCAGCCCCATGAGCAAGATGCAGCCTGCAGGTTAATGATGACGTAACTATCATTCAACCCCAAACAGCGGAACCTTAGTGAATATGAGAATTCGAATAATTAATATTAATGAATATTACACCTGCTCAATGAAGATCGGATGATTCACTACATTAATAAATCTGACATAACTTGATCAGAAATCTAAAAAGGGGAGAAAAAGATTAAGCAGTCAATAGAAAGTAATACTGTGGTTAAAAGAGCCATTGTGGTCCAGTGGTCAGCACGTTGCGTTATGATGCCGCCAACCCGAGTTTAAACCTCACCTGAGTCATTTTTTTAAATTTTTTTCTCCATTTTTGGTGTTAAGACATTTAATGGATTACTTATGCAGGTGTACATATTTTATTTTTGTGTGACCACCGTTACAAAGGACTGGATATCTATAAATAATTTTTGCACAGAAAATATATTCAGATATTGCAGGAAAGGCATTGTGATGGTTTAAAGAATAGCGCTGGTGATTCAGCTCCCCTTTAATCTTCTCATAGTTATGAACAACAGAAGTTCTAAAGCAGCTGTGTCCTTGAAAAAGACATGATACTGTCATTAGAAACTAAATAGGAAATGACCTTATTTTAGTGAAGTTTATTTATAAACAAATTTCGAGAGGATCACGTGCTTATGATTGTTCACAGCTGTTCCAAATTTAGTTAATGACTGATTATCCTATCAGACGATCCTTAACTCACTATAAATAAACCAGACTTTTTTCATCTCAATATCTTCGTCTTGAAGAAACCCCCACACCCAACCCTACTTTCAAACGGGCGACACGGTGGCCAGTGATTAGCGCTGTTGCCTCACAGCAAGAATGTCCCTGGTTTAATTCCTTTCTAAACCAGGCGACATTCCTATGTGGAGTTTTGCTCGTTCTCCCCGTGATCGCGTGGGTTTTCCCCGGGTCCTCCGGTTTCCTCCCACAGTTCAAAAACAAGCACCCTAAACAATTAATCCAAAATAATTCAGCCAAACTCTGAGTACACCATCAGCATCCATATCTGACACTTAGCTACAATAAGCATGAGGGGGAGTCATCTAGATCTACCTGAGCTCAAACTCCCCTCTTGCCTTGCAACGGGAGGGAGCCCAGGGCACGAGGATCTTATAAGCTCAGGGGTCTCTCCCGGGACAGCACGCCAAACTAGCTTTATTATCAATCATCAGTGTGAACTCTTGAAATATAGTCAGTTGTGAACTGAGATGAGCCGGTCTAATGCCTAAAACTCCAGGGCTGAAAAGGAGTTTCATTCCGGCTCTGTACAGGGGGTGTGTATAATTCAAAATCAATTGAATGAATCAGTGCAATAAATATGTGCAATTTTAATAGTGCAAATGTTAATAGTGCAGTGATTATGGACAGTATAAGTTATGAGGAGAGTGTGGGGGTGTACGAGGGGGTCCCTAATAATGTAAAGAATATTCATGTTTCCATTAAGTTGCAAAAATGTTTTTACATCTGAACAGCCTGTTTTTAATGTTTAAGAAATTTGTTTACTGCCTTTTTGAGGCCAAGCAATGATGTGCAAGTATCTACTGTATCCTGTAATACCTCCACTATTGAATCTATTGATTGACATTGAACAATGCAATAAAAGTTGTGAAATTTGGCACACAGAGAGAGGACAGCCAGTACATTCATTTCAGCACATTTAGAGTCTTCAACTTAAACCCTCAAGCACCACTATCTGCTCAAATATGAGGCTGTGTTTATGCTAATGATTTCTAAACCATAAAGGCCAGAAACAAAAGCACAAGATTTAACAGCAGTGGGTCTTTGACATGGTCACATTCAGCATGTTTAGTTGTGGGAGGTGGAGCTGTTCTACAGCTAAACTGATGCAAACAGTACTAGGTACAGTTGCCTCAAACCGGGCCAAAGCACGCTTGTCCCCCCTCCCGTCTCCCCCGACGGCCTGTACTCACACCACAAATGGGCCTCGGCACGCTTACGTCATCACTGCTGTGCTGTTCAGTGAGAAGCGCTCTCTCACTAGGCAGCACAGTGGAGATTTCTCTAGTTATATCGCTTTAGTCGTTTGTTATGCAGTGACATGCAGTTATATATTTCGCCAAACAGTCCTTAGGGATGCTGTGACACGCAGTCAGATATTTCGCCAAACAGATCCGCCACTTTTGGCGCTCATAAACAATCATAAAGCTCTCGTGCTGCAGGAATGAGGAGGTCTGCTGAAGGTGCAGCTGTCCTGCAGTGAGGAGTTTCGTCTTTAATAAACTACGGCAGTTTGCGTTCACTGAACAGTAAGAATGATTAATAAATCCATATCAAACAGTGCCTTAAAGTCACGTCTCGCTTTCAGTTTCGGGCCCAAGTGTACCGTGCTCAGGCCCACCTCTTCCAACCGGGCCAGGGCCGGCCAAGTGAACCGTGCTTGAGCCCGATTCAGCGCACTCACACGATCCTGGAAACAGGCCTGGGCACGGTACGATGGCATAGTGTGAGTACGCCCTAAGAGGCATTTCTGTTAAACTGATCAACTTGTTTTTCATTGATCAGACCTACATGACTTGATTGATTGATTTTATTAGACGATTTTAACAAAAATATACAAACAAGTCCAGTTAGACTAATTCACACACGTTTTAAAAACTGTCGAGGATAAAGTACACAAAAAAGCCACAGGCTTATTTCCATTGTGGTCCTCGATATTCTTAAAAAAATCATAAATGGAGTGTGCAAACATCATCAGCTCAGCAACTCGGCACAACAAAATCCTCAGCTTTAACTACAAAACAACCACTTTTTAATTTCCTTTCAAAAACACTCTCAATTTTAATTTCTTTAAAAATTGTGGGCAAAACATTTCAATCAGCAGAGATCACACATGAAAAAGTTTTCACCTGATTCACTCTTAAAGGGGTAAACATCCCTGCTACGTGCTCTTGTAGAATGACAGTGTACCTCACCAACTAAAACATAATAATTAAGAAAATATTTTGCAACCATTTTCTTCAAAATATTAAACACCATCACTAATGTTAAAAATATTACGCTTTTCTCAACTTTTAAAAAATACTTTGACTATAATGTTCATTATTTAAATGTGTCAGGAGAGGTATTTTCATAACAATTCTAAACAACTTATTTTGGGCCGTCTGTAATTTATTTTTAACTTTTTTAAGAACTATCACTGTACCAATAAGCTGCAGCATAGTCAAAGAGTAGCTGCACTAATGCACTAGCTACATTTTTAAAGTTTGGGTATTAAGGAGCTCTGCCGGTCTTGCTAAAAACTTAATTTTAGAAAAAAAAATTTATGAATTATTCCAACTATGAACACTTTTTTTTAAATGTTTTTCTCCATAGAACTGCTCTGCATTGTATAAAGTGCCATAGAAATAA